CAAGAAAGCTATAGGTGGTTGGAGAAGAAATCGCATACTCATCTCTCCTTCTCTGGTCCAGTCAGAGGGAGCAACAAGCTAAGCATGAGTGGAAAACATTATGGGTAATGGAATGCAGTTTCTGATTGGCACAAGCAAAAAGGCAGATGGGTTGCTTTGGAATGTGCCTTTTTTGGGGTGGGGGTGCCTCTCTCTTTCTCAGGCTGTAGGGTTTTGCTTTGGTTGTTGCTGAGGTGCAGTAGATCCAGGATGAGAACGAGAACTGATGCCACAGTTGCTTATGTCACACAGGCATTGATGACTCCCTAAAATGGAATAAAGTCATATTTCCCTCTTTTTTTGGTGGGGAGGGAATCTCTACAAATTAATGATCTATGCTCCCCCAAAACGCATTACTACTTTCTTCACCATCTCAGCTTTCTAGCAGTAGCTTTCCTGGCCATGCCAGCAGAATGGTTAAAAAAAGATCAGACAAGTAGATGTGGGTGAAATGCAATTAAACACCCAAATTACTTTGGCTTTGGGTTTTGCTTTTGCTGTGTCTGCTGGTGTTGGCATGAGACGCCTGACTAGGATGCCCTTAGTTCTTTGAGGAGGGTTTGCTTGTAGGAGGCAGACAACTCTGATGCTGCTGTGGGCCAGCAAGAGCAATTAGCAATCCCAAATTCCAGCCAGCAGTGAAAGTGAGAATAAGTGTTCCTTTGTGTCCATGAATCTCCAGCTGCCAGGATCTTCCTGCCCACCCAATTAACAAAAGAGGACAGAGTGAGAGCTGCTGGGAACTGGGTCACCAGCAGTTCCACCACTGTACAACTTTCTTAATTAAGGCAGTAAAAGAAACTCCCAAGTGGCTGGCAGTAAAGATTGAATGCTAGAAGAACAGATAATGTACTGGTGTGTCTGGTGTGGTCTCAGACTCTCAGCAAACAGACATGGGTTTTTTGAGTCAAGGTCACAGCTGTAACCCCTTCTTATCCCTTTTGGTAAACAGAACTGGTACTGTGTGTTTCTTGGAAAGAAGTCTAAGATGATTTTGGTTGAGATCTGGGAGGTATCTTTAAATTGCATACTGGTACCTCAGCTTCCCAAATATGGCAAAAATTAGTTACAGAGAAGTATGGGGAGCAGCATTGTAGTGCTTTTAGATTATACATTTATGCAAGTTTTTAATACGGTTCTGCTCCTTTGGATTTGAACAGAAACAATGGTTCTATGTCCCATTAATTTACTCAGCCATACTAAAATGATGGTTATTATTGCTGCTATGCAAACATTTAAGTTTTAATTGCATTGATACAGAGTATACATTTTTCATTCAGTTGCTTTTAACTCCAACCCTATTTTTTATGGTTTGTTGTGGAACAAAGTCTAAAAACAGTAAAACGATAAAATACTACAATTTTCTTACATTTTAAAGAATTCCAAAACAGTCAATACATATTTGCTTTATATTCCTATGTGTAAGTATGTAGTTAAAGATAATTGTGTATAAACCTCAACAAAGGCAGCCCAAATATTCATGTTAAATTATTCCTGAAGACCATACATTCAAAAACTGAGAGTTTCATTAAGCCCTCCACCCATTGTGTTATTGCAAGTAGTCATTTATCCTTCTAGTATTAATCTTTTAGCTATCAAAAGAACATAGGAAATCCATTTGCAATGACCATGTGTTAAAGTCCAAAAGACGTGTGTTATTAAGGAGGACATTAAGAATATTGCATCACAAGATTTATCTGAATTATTCCCTCCTTCCAAAAGGAAGCAGCCATTGGGCATTGCCAAAACGTATGAAGCTGAAAATGAAAAGCATTAGCTGCACTGCACCACCACCAATTGGCAAATGTCATTAAGTCCTGATCAAAGATGATGTTGTGGCATCTGGTATAGTAGAAACATGACTTTTTGTTAAATTAAACATAACCTAAGATCTCTTACCCCTTCCAAAAAGCTGATAATGAAGAACTCCATTGACTGAGCAAAATGGAGTGCCCAATGAATTCTTCCATTCTTGCTTCAGACCTTGTGTATCCTAATTATTTGCTGATAATAGGTATTTATAGAAAGAGCTTGTAGGCCTATGTAACTTCCAATAACACAGGCAGCTTTGAAGCTGTGAAACAGCAGGACTAAGTTTGGATTCTAACAAGTGTTTCAATTGCATGGATCGCCATGCAGCCATAACTGACAATGTATGGTTAGCAAGCAAAGTAGAAAATGCCAGAAGGTTATCAAGACCAGCAAGGTGATGCAGGGTGAAAATCCAGCCTTTACATCTCCCCCTGCATGTGCCCATCTGATGAAATGAGTACAAGGAATGAATTAATGAATCTAATTGTGTTTCTTGACTGAAGGTCTGAATGGGGACTATGAATAGTTCCTGCAGCACAAGAAGTCACTCACTGTATGGTGTACATCTGCTAGCCACTGTGATCTGTCTTCAAGGCTCTCTTGGCCATAATCCCTGCCATGTAACAGCCCTTCCAGCGCTGCCTCCACCCAAGGGGAATTGCGGCACTTATCCCTTCCACCCAACTGCCTATAGAGGACCTTGTGAGGGATGTAGGCTGGTAATTGGCAGAGCTTTCCTTCTGAATTACATAGTCTTCTTAATCAGTCATTAAATATTCCTTTGGAGCATTATCATAGCCTTTCTACAAAAGGTGAAAACCAAAACACATAGAAGTACCCAGATGAGCACAGGTCAATGGCAAAGTCAGAGATTAGAACCTGGGAGCTGAAATTCCCAGCGGTGAAGCTGGTTTATACAGCTTATCTAGAATCCCTTTTCTGTTGTGCACAATCTTCGTTCCTGATATAAAGGGAATATGGGGGTGGGGAGAGAAGACAAAGGTAATTGTTTTCTTCTGTCAGACATTGGCTCATAGGAATCTTAGGCCTTTGGCCTACTTCACTGTTCTTTTGTCAGGAAATCCTCAGCGGCTGAGCAGGTACCACTGGGACACCAGCAGCCAGATCATTGGTATATTAATTCTGAATCTGGCGGGGCGTGTAGTCCATCCTACAAACAGCCATAGCAAAATGAAAAGCACAATCATATGCATGTTCAGAAAAGAAAAACAATCCTCCAACTCCCAGCATTTCCTCATAAGCAATGCTGGCAGAGGAATGCTGGGATTTGGAAGATTCATTTTCCTTCTAAACAAGTGTACAATTGTGCCCTTATTCTCCCTTAATTTGGTCACTTTTTCTTAAAGACATAAAAGCTGGTAGCCTTTCATACTTCCTGTGGCCATAAATTCCACAGATTAATTACATGTTATGTAAACATTCTCTTTTGTTTGTCTTCAATCACTAGCTTAATTAGATGGAGTTGTATTCCAAGTTGATCCAAATTAACTCTAATTCCTCTGAAAAGGCCTACCCTAGGTAGAATATGGAATACTGAGTGCTAGTATTATGAAAAAATGAGAAACAATTCTGCCTACTTTCTTGACCGCCACGTAATAGTATAAATCTTATTGCATCAACTCTCTTAAAACCTAACCCCCCACCCCATTTTTCATCATAGCAAAATGAAGCCCATTGCTTTGGATTATCCCATTTCTGCATTTTTCTCAGCTCAGGTGGTGGTGTGAACAGAACTGACCAGATATGGCTGCACTGTGGATTTGTATAATGACATTACAATAGTGGCAGTTCTATTTTCAATCCTTTCTGATAACTCTTATGTGGATTTCTTTTTCTCATAGTTCCAGGCACTATGTATACCTTTTAACTGACACAATTTCCAGAGGGGTAGATGTGTTGCTTGCAAGAAGAGTCTTCTAGCCTCTGGATGTTTATTTACAATTCAAATAAATTAAAAAGTTTCATGGGCATTGCCCATCAGATTGTATGCTGGTATTTTTGGCTCTGCCCTTTTGCCTCACTCATCAGTCGAACCTCAGTGTCTCAAATGGAATTTAGTCCCTGAGCTCTGAGTCCCTAAACAAGACTCTACATCCCTGCTTTTAAGCACTTCAGATCATCTAAAAACCCACACAACAACCCTTTAAGGTAGGAAGTGTTATCATCCTGCAGAAGACCTGGATTCAGCGAGGACAACGCCCTGCAAGCAACTTTATTTATTTATTTACAGCTGCTCTGTGTATCTGCGGGGGGCGGGGGGCTGTTCCTCTTGGATCCACGCCTGCCCCAAGGTTGTCGCTGGGAAAACCGGGAGAGAATCCAGTGAGCTCATGGCGGGGGGAAATTTAAAGCCTCCCTCCCTCCCAGAGCTCGCCACTTTTCGCCCGTGTGCGCTTTTATTTGCGTGCAGTAACGACAGACGCCCGGCTCCACTGCAGAAAGAGAGGCGTTGGACCAGCTAATAAATGGTGAAGGCCGAGGAAGCCCAACCCCGGTTGCCACCCTTTGCACACATGCCCGAGGCTTACTTCCGAGTAAACAAGCCGTGCCCAGGAAGGACCGGCTAGTAGGAGGATGATCAAGGCATAACAGCGCGCCGACTCCCAGAGGTCCGCTCCTTTTGAACTCTTCAGGAGCATATTGGAATAGCTGCAGTCGGGGCTGGATGGGCCTGGAGCGGCGGAGCCCGTGCGGCGTGCGGCTCGTCGTGCTTTGGCGGCACATTAAGGGCTAGGAGAGGCGGCCCGGTGTTCTCTTTAGGAACCCCGTTCAGACGTGCCCATGCGCGCGCGCCGCAGAGTCGCCTAGGCGCGGCAACGGCGGCGGCGGCCTCAGTTTCCCCAGCCAGCGACTGGTCCGTCTAGCGCACCTTCTCCCGCCAGTGGACTCCGCCAGGTCTCCGAGGTGGTCGCTCTGGACCACCGTGCTTTTACGCTGGCTTGCTTGGGATCCGCTCCGCTGCCGGTCTGGTCGTAGGTGCGAGAGGCAGTCTCCTGGCAAGGGCGGGAAGAGAGAGCGGGCGCGCCGCCCGGAGCAGCCGCGCTCCCGGTGACGAAACTTTCGCGCGGTGGGGAAGGGTGCTCGGCGCTGCACGGTGCCCAGCCTGCCTTTTAAACTGCTGGGAAGAGATGTTGGCGGCGCAGCGCCCCAGAAGTTTTGCTCCGGGGCGGTGGCGGGGGCTGCCGCTGCTTCTCCTCGTCTTCCTTGCCGCGCAGCCGGGCGCGGAGGGAGGTTGTGCGAAGCTGGGGCGGTGCTGCGCGGGCAGAAGCCTGGCGTGTGTGAGCGCCGGCTGGAGACCCGACGGCTCCCACGGGCCCTGCTACTGTGATCAGGCGTGTCCTTACACCTTGGACTGCTGCCACGACTACCGGCAGGTGTGCCCAGGTGAGTTTCGCAGCGGCGGGGCGGCGAGCAGGAGGCACTGAAAGGGACCTAAAAAGGGCAGGAGTTGGTGATCAAAGCGTGTTGATCGTCTGCTCCTGTCCGGGTCTATACTTAGGGGTAACTCCCACTGATTTTAGGGGGAGGTACTCCCCAGGTTCTGTGCCCCAAGAGAGCAGCTGTGCCATGTGATCTTCTTGCAGAAGTGAAGGATCACAGACCTCGGTGAGTGTTGCATGCCAGAGCAGTCTTTTCCAATCTGGTGTCCTCCAGATGTGCTGGACTACAACCCCCATGTTGGCTGAGGATGATGGGAATTGCAGTCCAACACATGTGAAGGCCCACAGGTTGGGGGAGGCTGCCCAAGTGAGTAAGTGTTTTAGGATCTCAGATCAAGCGACATGTGTGCAGCTTTTCTCACATCCCAGTCCCTAATCTCTGGCTGTGTAGCGACACATTTCCTGTGGGGAAATACAGCCTACAGGGAATGCTCCAGTCACACAAGTGAAGACTGTGTGTGTTGTTAACATGTGAGGTAGCTGATAGCTTATGGTCAAAGCACTACTGGAGGTGGTGGGGCAGGGGGATCTTGCCAATCTCCTCTGACAGAACCTGGTCTACTTTCTGCCTGCCCAGTGGTGCAGCAACACGTTTGGAAATGGAAGCGCTTATTACGGCAGTCCTCAAGAACAGTGTCAAAATTCAGGCGGCTGTGTTGACCAATATCATAAACCAGTTCTAGCAGTCCTTTTGTGAGGCCCATGGCTGAATTCAGACATGATAACCCAGACTTGAGTATGGGTTGAGTGTGGGTTGCTGTTGAAATGTGTTTATTGTTTTGTCTGAACCCAGCTG